ACCAATCCTGTTCTTCTTTTCATACGTTCTCCTCACACAACTGCCTCCACATCTGTCAGCACGCTCTCTCTGCGCTCCGGAAGCGACCACACACCCGGTGTSACGGGGAGAATGTTCCCCAGACAGAGTCTTAAGAAGAGCAGAAACGAGGAGCAAAATATGTGTTTATCTTTGTGGAAACACAAGAGTGGGCTTATGAATAAAGCAGCAGGAGTGTTTATGCGAGAGATGGACAATCTGGAGGATTTGGCCGATCCATTTGAGGTCGATGAATGAGCGGTAATACGATCTCTTTTTGGTGCTCCGTCTCACCAAAACAAATCCTGAGAGCAGCGTCTCCTGGGTAAACACTTTGTGACCACCGAAGATTTGACAAGCGCCATATGTCACCTTTTAGGTCCCACACAGAAATCTGCCTCGTCTTCCTCTTTGTGGTTGAAACGAGCAAACAAACGTAGCGTCTCTTCTGTTTTTGAATCGGCTTCACCTCGCTGTTTACTCAGGATGACGCAGCTCAATTCAGAGCATTCGTCTCATCAAACTATCCCACAATCACCCACTCCTCGCCACGCTGCCCGCAGTACAACTCATGAGCAAACAGCATCTGTCTTCTGCTCATTAATCATCTTTATGATAAACACACACACAGATTTTTACACTGCCTCGGCGTGTCCACATGTGTGTGTTCTTGTGAGGATTTCTGCAGAGGAAGTGGCTGTTTGCACAGATGCGCAGTTTGATGATCAGACTGTGTATGAAATCTCACTGGTGACAGAATCAGCACTGTTAATACGAGCGCGTCTTTCTCCACCTCCTTTTCACTCAACAGCTCTCTTTGTGTGCAGTTTCCTGCCTGGTTAACGCTTGTTCTCTCCTGTCTGTCCTCGTTTTTCTGTACCTCCTCTGTTTTATTTTATTATGTATCTTCTGGTGTTTAGACTTTGGAGTTTGTGGCTTGGATAGGATTAGGATTYGGCTTTAGCCTTCATCACAGTGTTGCAGTGACAGATAACTTCTGTCAGGAAAAATGGGCTCACTGCTCTTGGCGAATGTTTATTTAATTACTTTATTTTGGGGGAAAAACTGGTTTTGAATTTCATATAACATCAGAACACTCTGGCTTTGGAAAAACTTGATTTTTTTAAAATCTGAATTCATGGCAGTATTGTTTTTATCAAGTAGGGTAAAAATGATGGAATCGTGAAATAAAACTGTTTTGATTTACCTCCTCTGACTTTTATGGCAACTTGGCGTATAAGATGAAGCTTTATCAAAAGTCCTAGTCGTATATTTTTAGCTGGATTAGGCTCTGGACTGTTTTACGGGCAGTGTCCTTTCTAAATTAAAATCTTACCTTATTTGCTCTGCAGCGTGACGCTTTAGCGGTCTAAAAATTTAAAATCTGACCTAATGCCTGTTTTGTGAACCAAATATAAACCTGAAAATGGTTTCTTTTATCAACCTTGTGTGAGTTCTCAAAACCTTTCTGCTTCCTTAGAGACCAGAGGCAAATGGAAAATAAACAGTTTAGAACCTAAAATATCTTCTAATKAGATCATCCATGTTTGTAAGTTGTGCAATTAAATAAAGCATTTTTCCTCGTACGGTTTCCAACAATAGCAAAGAATTCGTCACGAGAAAYGACATATTTTATGTCTCGTGTCCAATTTTCTTTCTGTTCCAGTATGAACAGATGACAAAGAACCATTGTGAGCTATTTTTCATGTTTAGACCGTGTCGTTTGTCTCGGGTTTTTGTCTCGGGCGTGAGGGTTTTGTCTGGGCTTGGTGTGCAGCGAGTGGCTGGCTTTCAGCCGCAGAAACTAACCAGCGTTCATGCCTTTTTAGTTACCTTTAAATCCCTTGTGGCTGTTTGCAGGCTTATCCTGGTTATTATCCTGGGTTATCTTAACTGCCTCTCAGGTTTTGTCTGAACCTGCYGTGACAAGTTGCAGTTCAGTTTTAGGACCCAGCAGCAACACGTCCACCAGACTTTTTCTGTCTGGATATGTAACACATTAACAGTCCCACTAATAATAAAGGTATTAATATATTTGTCTAATTAAATTGCATTTAATGTTTTGTAATATAAGGATCTGTCTTCTAGTTACAAATAATCAAAATTGGTGCTTTTTAAAACTCAAGTGTTTTTGTGTCACTTACACTTTCTCTTATGCCACAAAGACTTTTTTTTATTCCTGAACCAGGTGAGGACTAGCATCRAAAAGGTCCAACCCTCCAAATATTTATATGCCAAAAACACATCTCTTTGAATGTAGCATCTCTGACAACCTGTAATCATCTTTAATCCTTTCATTATGTTTTTGTTTTCTTTTGTCCTTGTTTTTTGGGGGGGAAAGGTGAATGCAAACAGGAATTCCGGCACACAAAGAAAAACACACAGCCTCAGGCTGAGAAAACAAGAGCTAGGAATTTTTTTTTTTGTGGGGGCGAAGAGGAGGGACACTTGTGAGCGGAGGGTACGCATGTGTGCATCGCTATTTGGCGAGAAGAAGAGCAGCTGCTTTCTTCACATGACCCGTGTTCCATACGTGAGTGCGTGTGTGCGGTTGTCGTGCTGCGTCTTGCTCGTGCTGATTTGTGCACAGAAGGATCACCTCTGCGTGGGCTGCTGGACTCTCTGAGGTCAGACGCCTGTCGGTAAACCACAGAGGGACTGAGTTCATTCTTCACGATGCCAAAATGACTAATATTCCTTCTTATAAAAGTTTTGAACATATTTAGTTGTGGAAGAACAGAGCGTGCACATTTAATACAGACAACTATTTAAAGTGCCCTTGACATCAAATTTTTGTATAAAACTTGAAAGAGTTTTTAGAAAGATAACATTATTAACATATTGCAAAAAAAATCATGCTGCTCAGATGAACAGTTGTTGAGATATTCACATGTGAAGTAACAGGAAGTGATGACAAAGAAGAATGACAGCATGTAAACAAAACAATAACTAATAACACAAAGTTTAGAGAAGAATCTGTTTTTATAGATTATTTTGAGTCACTCTCAGAAAGAGATGAGGAAGAGACAAGATTTTAAATAATAATGTTTCAATAAACAAAGACCAGTGAGTTTTCTTCTTTGAGTTCCCCTTTGATGTCACTTCCTGTTTCACTTGGGCCAGTTACGTGACAAAATGGATAAAATTGTGTTTATTATGTCAAGTTTCTTAAATATAAAAATGTTTTATTTAACTTTTTGTAGTTGAAGCTCATGCATGTCACAGGCACTTTAAAACTTTGTCATGTTTCTTGTTTATTGGGAGAATAAAATGTATTTAACATAAACAAAAAGGATAGTTATGGAAATATTTGCTGATACATTTGTAAAAGTATTTTTAATTAGGAAAAATACAGATTTTTTTTATTAATTGTTTTACTTCCTACAGTTTGATTTTTGTGAGGTGCTGACCATTTAACATTTTATTTGAACTGATTGTGTGTTTTTCAGAGGAAACTAAGT